TTGGTGTCTCTCTGGCAAGATGTTCTGCTCCTGAATCAGCTGGGTGGGTCTTGCCTCTAGCCTCTTTGCAGGGAGTTCTGCTGAAGGGTTCCATGCTGGGCCTGCAGCCTGGGTCTATTCAGGATCCTGCCTGTGCCCAGGTTGTCTCACTCACTTGCCTGGCCTGCGCTCTGGGTCTGTTCAGGATCCCACGGCCCCAGTTGTCTCACTCACTCTCGGGGGCTGCGCTCTGGGTCTGTTCAGGATCTCGCGGCCTGGGTCATCTCACTCACTCGCCGGGCCTGCACTCTGTGTCTGTTCAGGATTCCGCATCCCGGTTGTCTCACTCACTGCCAGGCCTTCGCTTTCTCTAACTCCTTTTAATATTCTATTCTTTTGTTCAATTTTTGGCATCTTGATTATTATGTGCCTGGGTGAAAATTTTTTTTGATTATGTGCCTGGATTTCTATATGCTTCACTTAACTGATATATCATACTTTTTCCCAATGCTTAAGAAATTTTCTGGTACTACTTCTGCAAATAGTCTTTTTATGTCACTTGTGTTAACTCTAGTTGTTTCATTGATACCTATTAGTCTTATTTTTCTTTGCATTATCTGGTAGTTGTTGTATTGTTATTCCCTGGTTCCTAGTTATTTTTAAGAGAACTTTCCATTTGTATTCACTAGCTGCAATGCTCTCTTCAAGGTTTGAAATTCGATCTTTTGTTTCATTCAAGTAGTCTTGCCATCTTTCAATGAAATTCTTAATGTCCTGGATATCTGTTTTGTGCATTCTAGTTCTTTCCTGTATTGTTCATTCAGTGTTTCTGTCATTTTCTTATTCTCTTCTATTTTTTATCCATGTCTTCCTTAGATGTATTGAGCAATTCTTTCATGATTTTTCTCATTTCCTTTTTTTACCTGTGAGATTATTTCTGATCTGATTTCCTCCATAGCCTGATGGAGTTGTTTCTTTACTTCAGTTGCAGTCATCTCAGAAATTCAGGTGTGTGACTTCCAAGTTCTATGACCTTGTCTCCTGGACTTGTTTTGGTGTGCTAGAGTTCTGAGATTGCCTTTGGTTTCTTCCTTTTGTCATTTTCTGAAGCCCCTATTGTTCTCCCTGACTTTGCAGCAATGGGAGGGGGTGATGGGTAGATGAGCAAGGCTCTCAGGAGAGTGGGAGGGCGGGGTACACTCATCAAAGCACCTGCTGTGTGGGATTCAATGTGGCTTCCACCTCACTGAAGGGAGGGGCCAAACCACAAGTTAGGAAGGATCCTATGATGATGAGTACAGGCTAAGTTCTGCAAGTGGGTCAGAGCAAAGTAGGCCTCCCCAAGGCTACTGGAGGTCACTGTTGCAGTCCGGTCTCCACAGCAGTCTTCAGGCCAATGACAGGTGGCTGCAGCTCCATAGAACTCCAGCCAATGGTTAGGGGATGGGGTTAGGCCTGCTAGGTCTCCCCAGTGGTCTTCAGGGTGAGGACCAGTGGGTCTCAGCAGAACTCCCCTAAAATAATTTTGAGGCTGTATGAGTTATGTAGTGTCTGTTACAAATATCCAAAATTATATGAAGAAGTTTAGATATATTATCCAGCAATCTTTGTGAGTCAGGAATCTGAGCACAGTTAAGTGATCGGTGAGCAGGCAGCTCTGTTTATATCTTCTAGGGGAGCAGTAAGGTGTGGACAGGCTGTGTTCTCACCTGAACCTCACTGGGGAAGAGCCCTACCCATACCCACTTGGGTTGCTGGCAGGATTCATTCCTCTGAGGTTGCACTATGTGGGGCCCTGACTTCCTGCTGACTGTGGTTCAAGCCTGGGCTCACTCTAAAGGTTCACATGGATGTGCACATGACCAAGTAGTTCTTCAACATGAGCTGAGAAAAAGGAGACTTCATAACAAATGCTCTGTCAAAATGGTGTGTAAATAATGAATTGTCATCACAGTAGTTACAGTCCATCATCTTTGTCCTCTTCCGCTAGTCAGAAGCAGTGCTCTGGCCCTGCCCACTCTTGATGGGAAGGAATTTTACAAGGATATAAACACCAATGGACTGTACCCAAGGATTGACCCCTTGAGTCTGTCCACCCCTGGGGACTCATCTAGCTATACTGAAATGTGGGAAACTGAAGTTCTACTTTATATCATCCCCTTCACCCCCTTTTTCTCTCTGTCTTTTGGAGACAAGGCCTCACTATTAGTTCTAGCTGGCTTTAAACTCACTGGATAGCTCAGGCTGGCCTTTGATTCACAGCAATTCTCCTGCATCAGCCTCCCCAAAGTTGAGATTACAGGCATGCACCCCCATGCCTGGGCAGTGCTGTGTACATTAAATATACATTTTACTACAAAAATATTGCTGAGTTTTGTCACAGATTTCTCTCTTTGTCTTTGAAGTGACACCATGGGATTTAAGGACACTTTGACTGGAAGGTGCTGGACTTTTGGGATCCACAAATAATGTCCCTAGGGCCTAGAGAAAGCGAACTTGGACCTCGCCATTCTCCTGCAGTGTTTACAATTTGTAGTGTTTTCCTATGTTGGGTTTGAAGTGATCCATAACTGTGTACTTAGTTTCAGTTTTCCAGTTTCACTAGTGAGTTTGAGGGTTTTGTTTATTTCATTTCTTGTTTTTGTGTTTTCTTTATACTTTTTATATATCTATTGACTTTTCAACTTTCTGCCATGTGAACCTCACTACTGTAGATTAAGACTGTTATTGTGTCTTTCTTTAATGTCTTCTAGAAGACTATTATAGCCAATACCTTCTCCTGGTATGTGAGTGCCATTTTTCTTTTTCTTTATTTTTTTATTAAGTACTTCAAAATTTAGGTTCCACTTATTTATCCTTGAAGGTGTTGACTTTTATTTTCTAAGAGCCCCATTATTATGAGCATTGACTTTTACACTAAAATAAACAAAATAATCCAAACCCAATGTAAAAAAGGTAATTATAGAATCAGAGCAGAAATAAAATTAAAGCTAAAAACACAAACTCATTTTCTTCAGAACTTTGAGGTACATCATTGGATTATATATTTGGCTTCACTATGCTTTTCTAATGTGGGAATTTATAGATATGACCTTTTCTCTTACTACTGCTTTTCATTGTTTCCAGTAGGTTCTGACATGTTAGACTGTTATTGTTTTATTGTAGGAACTGTCTAAATTCTTCAATGATTTGTTCTGTGAGTACTAATTATTCTAGAGTGTATGGTTTACACTCTCACAGAATGGCTGTGGTTTCTTTTACCATCAATTTCTACTTTCATTGCATGGTATGCATGGGATCATTGTACCTATTGAAGTCTGCTTTATGGGCTGGTACTTAGTCTATGTTTGAGAAAGTCTATGTGCTATAAGGAAGACCGTGTATTCTGTTGTTGAAGCCAAGTGGAACAATCTGTAGATCTATTATGTTCCTTTGTGTAAAGGTGTAATGCAACTCTGATATTTCTTTGTAGAATTTTTTGGAAATTGATCTGTCTGTGACACTGAGGCATGGACATCCCCCACTATAACTGTACTGATGTTTATCTGATGGGTTTTTTAAAAATGTATTTAGTACAGGGTCTACAGGGTCTCACTAAGTAGATCAGACTCATAGTGATTCTCCTTTTTTTCAGCCTCCTGAGTGCTGGGATTACAGGCACGCACTATCATACCCAGTCTCAATCGCCATCTCAGCATGCCCAGGGCACGGGGCTGGCACAGCATGCAGGGAATCAAACCCTGGTCCCTGTGTCTTAGGCATAAGCAGATGGTTTAGTCCACTGAGCTCTGAACTATCTGGCCAACCCGTTTATCTGATCTTCTATATTCAGTAGTATTTGTTTTATGAAGTTAAGTACAACAGTGTTCAGCACATCTGTAGTTCTACTAGTTTTCTCATCCTGTTCCTGGCTTCTTCTTGTATGCAGATGTTATGAAATGCAGATGGAGAAGAGCCCATTTCACTGTCTTCTGGTATTTTTGGACCTACAGGAAAGAAGTCAGCTTTTGAACAAGCAGGGACCATATTCAGTTTGGTTACTTCTAGTCCTTGGCATTTCTGAAAAGTGAAGATTATTTTAAAAGGTGTTACTACTATCCCCTATTAGGCTCATACTAAATCGAAGGAATTTTACTAGGTGATAGGCAAGCATTGGACCATTAGATTCTCCTATGAATCACTGTGCCACATGTGATGATTTTTACTTTACCATTAACTTACATAGCTACTTAGGGTCAGGAACTGGATTTGAACACAAGCTGCTTTTATTTAAAATTCATTGTCTTGGGGCTAGGGAGATAGCTCAGTAGAACAAGTGCTTGCCTGGCAAGCCAAGGGCCTGGGTTCAATCCCCAGTTCTGCCAAAAATAAAAAAATAAAAAATAAAATTCATTGTCTTATTACCACCATGAATGTATTCATTTTTCTATTTGTTACAGTCAGTGTGACTCTGGATCCAGGTACAGCTCATCCTGCCCTAATTCTGTCTAAGGACCGGAGACATGTGTCCTATGGATCCAGCCAGCAAAACCCTGTGGTTTTGTCCGGGAGATTTGCCATCCTCCCCTGTGTCCTGGGCTGTGAGGGCTTCACCTCAGGAAGACACTACTTCGAAGTGGATGTTGGAGAAGGAACAGCTTGGGATGTGGGAGTCTGTATGGAGAATGTGCAGCGAGGCCTTGGCATGAAGCAGGAGCCTGAGAGTGGGTTCTGGGCCATCAGGCTGTGCACAGGGAATGGCTATGTAGCCCTGACCTCTCCCATAACTGCCCTTCAGCTACCTGAGCGACCCCGGGTGGTGGGTGTTGCTCTGGACTATGAGACTGGAGCTGTGTCCTTTTACAACATGACCTCTGGCTCGCACATCTTCACCTTCCCCAAGGCTTCCTTCTCTGATACTCTGCGGCCTTACTTCTGGGTTTACCAGCATTCTCCTTTGTTCCTGCCTCCTTGTAATGAGTGAAGAAAAGAGTAAAGTCTCCTTCAGTTAGACAACAATGAAAATGTACTATTTAAGGACAGCGATTGGTAATTTTTCTTCACAGCTCTTCCTTCAGATGTCCACTATCACCGGTGCTGTTCGTATAGATTTGAAACTTTGACCAGGCAAGAGAAAAAAGTATAAAGGATAGGTATAGGCAAGAAAGAAGTCAATATAATCCTTATTCGCAGATGATATGATTCTTTATATAGAAAATCTGAAGAATTCTATCAAAAGACTCCTAGAATTAATAAGTAACTTCAGCAATGTAGTAGTATTATCAAGTGCAGTAGAGACCAACAGTGTTTTCCAGAAACAAAGAAGGATGCCAAAAAAACAAAAAAGCCAGGATAGCTGGGATAACTGTACTCTTGATCTCCACCAGTCTATAGAAAGGCATGGCTAGGCTTACATTTTTTTCTTCTTTATCATTTTTTGACCAATTTTGCATGTTTCTGACTGATAATGTGAACACCTAATTGAAGACAATAGTACGCAATGTAAGAACCATTGTTAAATTCCTATCATCTTGTTTAGAGAAATCATGAACTTTTTTGAAGTTTTTTATTTTTTAATTCTCTTTAAAAACAAAAAAATTGAAAATGTGTAATGGTATAATTGAGATGAAAATAACAGCCAAATGAAGGGAGGGGAAACAGAATTATTCTGAAAAATTTAGATATTATTAAGATTGTTGATATCAATCCAAACTAGATTGTCACTTATAATCCTCAATGCAAATAGTAAGAAAATGATTCAAAAAGACTCAAAGAAGATAAGAATTACAATGGTATGTGCTAAAATAATTACTATAATTAATAATTAACATAAAATAAAGCAGTAGTGGAAAAATAATAGCATAAATTACTCACAATGTATACACATACATATATGCCAAAATAACAGATGGAAATCCTGGTTCATTAGCAATGTATTGAAAGGAAATGAATTTTAAAGTAGATATTAAGTGTGTAGATAAAATGAAATGATATAACCATATGTTGTCTGCAGAGGACCTGTCTGTGATTAATAATAATAATGATATGTAGTGAATGTAGATTTCATTATAAAGTACAAGTTGTTTACAACCATTATGTTAAGTATAATTTATGAGCTCTGCTCATTGATGCTATCTAATAATCACAGACCACATCTCTATGCATAATGCCTGCTAATTTGTGCATAGTATGTGTGAGTGCAATTCTGATTCTGTTTGTCAGGTCTCCTGGTTCATTGTAATGGGGTAGTTTGTCTAAGCATTTATGCTTATCATGTTAAAAAATTGAATAAATACAGAAGACATATGTGACAGACAAAGGGAGAGAGAAGATGGACTGGTTATGGCAGGAAGGAACAGAGCAAAAATTCTTCACATGGTTGTCAGAAGCTCTGTTAAGGGCTGGCAAGTTAGCTCAGCAGACTAAGCACCTGCTTTGGCAAGCATAGGGACCCAGGGACCAGGATTTGACCCAGGTCCTGCATGCCTCGACTACTCCACCCCCAGGGCATGCTGAACCAGCCACTGAGTCCGGGCATGGTGGTACAAGCCTGAAATCCCAGCACTGGGGAGGCTGGAAACAGGAGGATCACTATGAGAACAAGCTGCATAATGAGACCCTGTACCAAATACATAAATGAGGGGGGAAAAGATGCTCTATTTAAACAATGGCTTGTGATCAGCAAAGTGGAGGAGGCCTGAATCCTTTATAGCTAAAGTCCCCAGGAGACAGGTGGATGACAAACATCAGAGCAGGGTGGTTTAAAAGGTAATAGGAGGACTGGGGTTTAGGGCACACAGAAGAGCACACTAATTCTCCAATTAAAAACTGTACCTGCCCACAGGTGTCTGTCCCCAGTACAGGGCCATATCTCTTACTACTGAATAGGCAAAGTGCTGATCCCTGGGAAAGGATATATATATATATATATATATATATATCATATGTCTTTGGTAATGAACCATTCATTCGTTCAGAAATATTAATCGTACATTTTTAGGAACTAGTACCACACTAGTTATAAAGGCAAACATTGTAATCCATAAACCTTCATTTCTTCCTCAATAAAGTGGGGTTGTTTATTCCTGTCTTAACCATCATTCTGAGCTCCATCCTTTGTGACTTTCGTCAGTTTCTCTCGGGGGCTCTGTGAGTCACCAAGGGAAGCAGCGCCTCCCAGAGCCCCCAGGTTGCTGCCTGCACCCCTGCTCTGCTCTTCGGCAGGGCTGCCTTCCCGAGTCCCTTGCTGCTCTCAAGGTGCTCTGTCATTGCGCCCTGATAGGTGTGTCAGTGCTCTGTCCATGCTTGCCCAGGACCATGATGTGAAATTCCAGAATCCCCATCTCGGTCACTGTCTTCTTGCTGAGGTGCAACGCCTGACTGCCACAGCTCACAGGACCCCACATTTAGCTGGGCTCATGGTTTTCAGAGCATGTAGTTCATACTCTGCTGGAAGGACATGAAAGTGTGTGAAGCAAAGCTGCTCACATCACTGCAGGCAGGAGACAGAAAAAGGAGGAGCTGGGAAGGGAGGTGCACCCTTCCAAATGGCACCCCAAGGTTCTTTCTTCGGACAATGCCCTACATCCTAACAGCACACTGAGCTATAGAGCCCCCATGATGCAATCACGTTCCAAAAGCCCTGGCTCTGAATGCACCAGAATTTCTTTGTTTTACGGGGGCATAGATCTGAAGCAAAACACACAGTCTGGGAGAACAAAACTAGGATGTTTCAAGTCAGAGTTACAGGGGGACATCTGTACAAAGGCCTCTCTCCAAATTCAGTGGGGGAGACTCTTCTGCAGCGGTGATTCTGAGATCCAGTTCTGCCATCCCCGTGCTGCTTTCTTCAGCATACTGCTAACAGGTGCGTTCCACAATGCTCTCTAATCTCAGCAGTCTGAAGAGACAAAGAGTTGGAGAATTGTGAGAGGCAGGAGGGTATAGGAAAAATCCAGAAGGGGCTCCGCATCACTTCTGCACCCTTTGTCCTATTCACAGCTCGGTCAGAGTCATACAGCTGCTGAGTAAAAATAGGCAATGGTCAGTCTCTGAGTACAAAGAAGAATGGGCCTGGAGCAGGCAAGTAACCGCCTCTGGCACAGGTGCTCTGCTGCCACTCTTCCTGCCCTGTTCCGGGATGTCTCACCTCACACTGGGTGGGTTGGGAAGTTAGGATCACAGTGAACCAGTGCCTCATCCTGAGCGCAGAACCAATTGGTGAAATAATGTGAAAACCCTGACTGTGGTGGGCATGAGTCATGTCAGTAAAATGCAAATGCAGGAACAAAGGCAATTGTTGGTTTTGCTTTTAAATCAATTCTCTTGAATTATAATTTCTATAAAATAAATCTAGCAAAATTTAATGGTGTAATTTGATGAGTCTTGACACAAGTATATGAGCATGTTACAAACACTAATGATGACAAAAAATTTCAATACTATGAATATTTCCTTATACTTTTCTGAAATCAATTTAGTAAGACCTACACAGGTAAAAGTATCATATTCACAGAGTGGAATTTATGTCATAGAATTTTAAGGCACAGATCCTCTCTAAAATTATAAACAGCTTTGATATAATGCCAATAAAAACTAAAAACTAAAGCTGGCTCTTTTGAGAAGACACTGACCATATGATTTTAACTGAATATTAAACATCAACAACCAAGGTTAGCAAAGAAAACTTTAGAGAAAATGACAGGCTCAGGGGTTTGCATTATTCCATTTCTAGCAGTGTTATAAAGCAACAGTAATCAGGACAGTATTTCACAATGTAGACTCTCAAGGTTTCTCAAAAGAAAAGAAAATTAGGAATAGGGAAGACTTGAAATAAATCCCATAACACGAGTCAAAATACAAACATTAATCATCCAGCAGAAAAGTATAAAAACGAAATATAAGAAGTAAAGCCATGCTGTTATGTTGAGCTGTAGGGGACTCAGGTCAACAATTTCTGACATTGCCAGTGAAGCAGAAGACCTAATACTATTATGGGCTACTGGACTCTTTCAGAATATTTTGCTGAGTTTACACACCTATAATATTCAAATAACAGAACTTAACAAAAAAAGGGGATACAGATGAATGTCCATTTTGTATCTGTGTATTCAAAGTGGTTAGGATAGATATATAGTTACATTCTCTTAATGAATAGAGTGATTTGTTCTAATGGTGTTTGTAAATAGGATATCATGTCCACATCTTGTACGGCAATTAACCACTAGGAAGAAGGTATGCAATGTGTTAATTATTGAAACTGTCCTACCAATTTGATTTGAAACTGTCTCATTGCTATTTGTTTCTCAATAAAATTATGGGGGAAAAAAGATTTTTCTCTCTGGTTCTGGTGGTTACATGAATAAATTGTCAACTTGAATGGGGAACACCGAGCTGAACTAAGTCAGCATGGACATTTGAACAGCATAAAAGGAGGAGGGGAAGGCAGGACTTCAGCTGATTTCCCTGGGAAGAGGTTTTTGTTTTGTTTTTTGAATATAGAATAGGGTCTATAGGATTTCACTATGTAGATCAGACTCTTAGTGATTCTCCTGTTTTCAGCCTCCCAAGCACTGGAATTACAAGTGCACACCACCACGCCCAGTCTCAATCACTCTCTCAGCGCATCCCATGTGCGGGGTTAGCAAGGCAGGCTGGGGATCGAACCCTTGGCTGCTGTGTCTATCTAAGCAGGCGCTTCAATCCGTTGAGCCATCTGGCTGGCTCCTCTGTGGAAAGAGTTTCATTCTAGTTGCTTTGTTTGAGAGGAGTGCAGCTCTTTGCTTTCGCCAAGGATGGCTGCTGTTTCTTTGGAGGAACCCTGGTCTCTGCCTTCACCTCGAGCCCTGCCTCCCGGCTCTTGGCACTGACACTTCAGCTTTCCGCCCCGGCTTTTCAACGCACTGGTGCTGACCCTCTTTCCTTCAGCACTGGCCCGGGGGTTTCCAGGCACAAACCATTCAGTCTTCCATTGCAGGCAGATTC